AAGCCAGACAATGGTTCACTGGCAGTGACCAGCTCCCTCTCATTCGACCCCCTCTCATTCAGCCGGTGGTGAATGTTACCAGTGGCAGCCCTGGCTGTTTGTCAGCCCTGGTCCTGATCCAGAGTTTCTTTCTCTTTCATGTGGGATCTTTGTCATATTTTGAGTCTCTTTTGCACCCCATTCAGTTTTATACCAGTTTCCCACATAAGCCTGTTAGAGATGTAATGTTAATTACCCAGAAATCTCCATCTGCAGTTGCTCCAGCATCATTCTTTAATGAATACAGACTTCAATGCATGTATTCTATTACTTTAGCTGCTTCAATTTCTATTTTTATTGCAAAGATCTGTGCAAATAAAAGACTATCAAAAGGTATGGCTATAAATGTGCTGTGAACTTCCCTCTGCCTTGAAATGCCTGTGAATGGCTGCTACAATATGCCTGCTGCATTTTAATGCCTTTCTCATGAGGCAACAAGGTATGGTCAAAATAACACTGGCTTTGGAGTCACACATTCCCTGGTCCACCATTCACCAACTGTGCTACTTATTTGAGCCTCAGTGTACTGGGCTTCCCTGGTGGCTCAGAGGTTAAAGCGTCTGCCTGCAATGTGGGAGGCCTGAGTTCGATCCCTGGGTCAGGAAGATCCCCGGAGGCGGAAATGGCAACCCACTCCAGTATTCTTGCCTGGAGAATCCCATGGATGGAGGAGCCTGGTGGGCTACAGACCACGGGGTTGCAAAGAGTCGGACACAACTGAGCGATATATGGGTATGGCTACTCATCTGTGAAATGTCAATGTCATCCTCACAAACTTGATTGGAGATAAAATGAGATGAAGTGTGTAAAGCACAAATATTATATTTAAGGAGCTTAATAAATGTTACTTTTCTCTAGCCTTTTGTAGTAATGGGAGACTATGGCATGCACAAATGAACAGTCATTTTAAAATGTTTTTCAATTGAGGTAATTATGAACTAGGAAGAATAAGGTTAAATTCCAATGGAGCAGATAATGCCTTACTGTGATGTGTATTGCATTTGGGAATATATTACTATAGGTGACGATGAAGAAAATGACATGCTTTCTGAATTTCATTACAACTTTAAAACTCTGTCCAGCTTTAAAGTGTTGTAAGAAAAGCCTGTTTTACTATACATCTGCTTTTAAAGACATAGGCAGCATAATTTACAAGAAATCACTGCAATATAAATCTGTTTTGTTATACTGCTTGAGTTAATTTAAAATAAAATTTCAGCACATTGAAAGTGGAGGAGTGGCATTGATCACCTACATATGTATATAGCTATAATAGGAACTTTTTTGGTAAGAATGACTGACTAACCTCTACCTTATCCAATGAACAAATAATACAGCAAGCCTAAATTTTCTAACAAGCAACCTGGAGATGGAATTACTGATACTTTGCCAGATTTTATATGGTTGCAAGAGTAGGTGAGTTACATCATATGCTGATGTCACTTCTGAAGCTATCAGACAAAATTCTTAGAATCTCTACTACTGAGTTCCATAAAGCCAGAAAAATAGAAGTTAACATGTAAATAGAGGAAGGAAAAACAGGAGTCCTCAGAAAGTAAGTCCTCAAAGCTAGGCTTAGCTTTCATTCTGGTCCAATAAGTTGTTAGAGGACCCAGTCTTTAAGATACTAATTAGATGAAGGAGACACAGGTTGGAAGGTAGTAAGCAATGGTGGAAAGAGCCTTCTTTAAAGTCAGACCTTATATATCTATTAGTCATGAGCCTCAGATTTCTCATGTCTATGGAGCAGAACCATAAAAGTTATCTTTATTCTTCTGTGATTTTGAAATATTTACAGCACCTGTTAACACAACTATATAACTCAACTCAAGTGCCAGCTCCTCTAGATGGTAATAGCTTTCTGAAGTTCTGGGTTAAGGAAGATTCTAAGACCACATCTAGGATTATGGGGAAGGAATGCTATAATTAATGATGTCTGCTCTGAGCAGAATTGATAATAAGTGAAAGTCTGTATCAATATATTTTCTATACAATGTCCCATAAATTATAATTACTATGATTACTGGTTCTCTTATGACAAAGGCATTTTTATGTTCCTCAGATTTCTACCTCTTCAACACAAAATGGAATCAATTAACTGCTTTGGGTACAATAGCTGTGTATATCATTTTTATTGATTTGATGGTACACTTGTGTGTATTATCTGTAGAGAAGAGCTAAAGATAAAATCAGAATTTACTATTCCTCATTTTATTATATAAACCAACTACCTGGGAAACAGTCTGGTATAGTTACTCAAAGTAGAGTGAGGCTTAGACAGAGAAAGAAAATGAATGTTGCAATGTAGTCCCTGCTTATCATGAAAGGTTTGCATGGTGTCCTGTAACTTCTTTAAAATATTCACACAAGGGAGAATGTTTTGCACTTAGATGGTCCATGAATTTCTAGACTTTTTCCTGTTTTTCTCTGTGGCCAGATTTCTTCTCTGGGTAAATAGTCATGTTCCTGTCAGCCATAGGGGATTTTCTGAATCATAAACAGCTGATTTTGTATTCTTGCTCCATTCCTTCTATTTGAGAACTGAAATCTGATCAAACCCATATTTTTAAATTTATTTATTTATAGGCATATGGAAGAATAGTTTACGGTCTGAGTGTGATTATTTTTTCCCACAAATGTAGGAAAATTATGGGGATTTTTAAAACAGCCCCTTATCAGTTTCTTTCTTTTTTTTTTTATTACTGATGACTTCATTCTGCTTGAATTCAATGCTTCGGTTTTTTTGGGTAAACTAATAGATTATGTATGCTGTGTTTGCACCACGTTGATTGAACTCATCTGGTGAGTTTGAGCGTGGCTTATGCATGCACGAAGTGGGCAGAAGCCTGCACAGTGGATGCAGGCCCCATAGGCAACTCAGAGTACTTAAGAGCAAGGGGTGCTCTTCAGAATTGAGTTCTGCTGTCTTTCCTGCCTTCTGTTGTTCAGGAAAGTATCAGACCTTCCACTTTTTTTCTTATTGTTATCTTTATCAAGTTCTGAAGAAATACTTTTGTTCAAGAAAAGTATAGTAAGAAAACAAAGTCAGAACTATTTAAAGCAAGTTTTAAAATACATATTGAAGAAAAATTAATGTAAATGATCTGTAAGAAATTGTTTTTTCTTGATCAAAGGCATCAATTACTTGGTGTCCACAGAGCAGGTAGGAAGCCAAGAACCCCATGCTAATTTTGTACAGAGGATGTCGAGACACGTGGTCCTGCTTTCAGTTAACTTACAATCTATCAGTAGTTTGGGAAGAATGTTTTCCTTCCAAAAGATGTTTACTCACCATTTTCTTTTTATAGTCCAAGTGTAATTTTTAAATGTTTTAACAAAATAATAGATGACTTCTTCCTACTGCTTTTAGATGTCTCATTTAAACTTCAAACTCAGTGTGATGCTTAGGGATCATTTTGGCGTGTAGAGGTCTTCTCTGTGGGGCTCCTCCCTACTTTTCTCCGTCCCATTTGTCTCTCTTCCCAGCTCCCTCCCCTACACCTTGTATACTAGAGGCATGATTCTCACATACACATGAAATATGAGTATCATTATGGTTAATTGTTACAAATTGAGTTAAAATACCAACATTTGCAAATGATCTATTTTGTCATTTATTAGAGTAAATTCAAAATATCCCTAAAGGACCCAAACTCTCTTTTATTATAATCTGCTTCCCAAATGAGAGGGGGAAGGGAGCGTATGTCAGCTACTATGTCTATGAGGCAAGACAAAAGAAGTTGAGGACCACTGCTTGCCAAACTGACTTCCTTGCATTCCCCCCAAAGCAACATGCTTTCTCATTTCTGTTCTTTGCATTGTTCTTCCCTCTGCCTTGAATTTTCTCATCTCACTTGTTCAGTTGTTGAGCACCTATGCATCTTTCAAGATTCAGCTAAGATGTCACCTCCTCTTTGGGGCCTTCTGTGATCTCCTTCCATGGCTCTGTCCTCACCCTGTTAAAGTTTAAGCAATCCATGTTCCCTCAACCCCTGTGCAGACCTGTAGCATCAGTCACAGTGGATCGTAGTCTTCCATATCCCTTTCAGTTCCATAATTCCCAGACTGTGTGTTTTTTGTGGAAAAGTTCTGTGAAAGTGTTTAAGATCTCCAGGTCTTAACATAAGTTCTGGCACAATAGGGCACTCAGTTATGCCTCAGATCAATCAGAGAAGTTGATCAGCTGTAGATATCTTCCTAGCATCTTCTTCTTGCTTCCTCTCCCTGATTGTATCACATAATGTTGATTCTGTTGAAATGATGGTGACAGATCTAAGCTAAAAGGGAGCCACTGGCTGACCAGTGTGGGGCTGAATAGATAAGTTACTGGAGAAACTGTAATTCCTGAGAGGAAGAAGTAGCTAAGGAGAGAAGAAAACCTTGGACACGTAACCAAGATGGCATATTCTACTATGACCAGCTTTCTATTTTTCTTTTTACTTATTGGAAAGACTTCCACTTTCTTTTCTTTATCTATGTCCCGCCTATACCCATATAATAACATGTACCCCAGCCCCACTCCAAAAATTCACAAACGTCATTGAACTGAACATGCCATGCCACTCTGCATCACATTCAAGCTTCAGGTCAAACAACTGGTCTCAAATAGGCAACACTTATGTAAGAAAATGAGATACTACATAAAAAATTAACCAAACTCTGTACATACAACTTTAAGAAAAAGGCGATGGCTCTTTTAATTGCTCTAGGTCAGGACCTTAAGTTCTCGCTCAAAAGGCACTTATTAATCCCAAGTTAAATCTAAACATATGCACATAAAGAGTAGTTTTTATTTATTTTTGTTACCAGGAATTTCACAGTTTTACTAGCGTATTTGTACGATATTACTGAATCTTCCAAATTTGAATGTCAGATGCTTTAACAAAATAAAAAATATCAAGAAGCAGTTTCTAGGATGTTGTTCACCATGTGACTGCTTGTCTGATTATGTCCTGCAGTGGCCGGTCCATGAGCGGAAGTGCTGACCGCATCCAGAAGTTGCGGAAAGAGTATTATCAGGCTCGGAGAGAAGGTTTTGCTTTATATGAGGATGATGAAGGAAGAGCAAGACCCGACTATGACCTTCACTGGGTAAGTCTATGCCTGAATTCATTGCACTCATCTTTACTGACATAGTTAAGAGCAGAAGAACATGGCTAGGAATGTCCTATACATATCAATGTATATTTAGGTTACTTGGGTTTCATGGATATAAACATTACCTAAACCACAGCCCATTTTCTCCTACAGAAGTTGTTTCTATAAATCAAGCCACACTAATGCACAGTAGTTCACTTTAATTGCTTTCATATTTACTCCCTCTTGGACTTGTATGCCTGCTTGTTTGGATGGAGCAGATGTTAGCTATTTTAAAAAGGGCAAGAAATCTTGGTCATTATCTACTGAGCCTTAATCCTTACCCTCCATCTCTTGAGTCTCAGACATCTGGTCAAGCATTAACAGACCATGCACCATAAACAATCTCTTCTTTCAAAAACAATTATTAGAAATAAATTTCGGAAAGGTCTGAAAGATATCCATTCAAAGATATCAAGTGTGAGTATATTGCATCTGAACACTTTACATTTTGCTAATCTTACCAGTACACTAAGATCATTTTATTCTGAGACAAGGGCAGTTTTTTATTAGAGGGTTCTCTATCAAATCATTCCACATTCATGAAGACAAAAGGATATCATGACCTCTAAAGAAACATTTTTCTGGATTTTTTCAAAATAGCCTAATTCATTCTGTTGTCTTTTTCAAGAAAGTGAGCTCTTTCTCATCCTCTTTGATGATTACTGCCTTCTCCTACAGTTTTTAGTGCTGTTTTGAGAACCACATAAGGAACCGTCTTATCCCGGGTGACCACACCATCTCTTTTGAAGGACTGATCTTTTAAAGGAAAGTTTTCTTCCTTGATTTTCACACCCACATTTGTGTTCATGAGGTCAGGGTTGGGAGAGTAGAGTCCAACCACTGAGCTGATTCTCTCTAGTTTTTACTTGGATAGTGTGGTTTCTCATGCATGAAACCTAGTGTTTTTACACAGGGTCCAAAAGCCAGTTTCAGCATCTATCACTGTTGTGCACAGCAACTGACAGTTCTTAGCCCAATAGATTCTACCTTGTATGGCAGAGTTTAAAAACACTTATCAGAAGTACACGGTATGGACTAGCGATCGCCAAGCAAATGGCTTCAGTCTTTTCCAGAAATAAGCATCCTGTGACTACAGATCAGATGAAACAACTATTTATTGGTTTTATTATCAATGTTAGGATTAAGCAGAATAGCATTGACTGTGATAGGGCAACTAGTCCTTTAGACTCTCAGTAACAGAAGCAAAAGATTTTCATAGAATAACAATCTGTAACAATTCATTTCATTTCAGCCTTATTCAAGACTGACTTTCTGACTTTGATGGAAGACTGTATACATAAGACTGTCCTCTCTCAACCAAACAGATGATAAAGGGAAGTTGTTTCCACCAGAACCAAAGCAGAACTCCATGTCCAATGCGTTGAGAAGTCTTTCTTCTCAAAACCAGTATGAATTCCTATGAGCAAAATAACATAAATAATTTCACAATAGATAAAGCAGTCCTGGTTGTTTGAACCTTATTTTATATGATCTCCTTACATCAAGTTGAAAGGATGAAAATTATTAACAGTCATGAGACTTAAAGTTTCCTCTGATTTACCAAACCTGAGCTGGATGACTATGCAGTCAGGTCCTCCCTATTTGATACTGTTTCTGTGCCAGGCAAATGCATAACCAGATGAACAATCTAGTGAGTGAGAGTATCGCTCTAATTTGTGTTTCCTATGCTCAGGTGTGTTGAGCTTTGCCAGAAGTGACTGATTTTACATTTCCCAAGCAATTGGGGACTATGGCTTCCCAAAAGGATTCTTGGGAAACGCACTGTCATAAAAGCTGAGTGGCCCTTTGTGATTGGCTGTGATATTCCAAACCAGGGATTAGAATATCAGCATCCTTTCCTGTCCTTCCCACAAGCCAAGGAAAAACACTATTATCTATTGTCCAACATGGACCTGAGAAATCACACCATTATCTTGCTACTTTTTGAGAGATCCAGGAAAGCATGTTTAGAAATTTAGTCTTTCATTTCCGCCAGTCAGCCAGACCCAACAAGACAGCTTTTATGAGACTGTGGTTTCTAGATTGGCTGGTCTTCAGTATCACCAAGGGTGCCTGTTAAAAACTGAAAAACAGTCTATGAGGAGGCGGGATGGAGCCCAAGAGAGGGCTCCTAGGTGCTTCTCCATCAGGCTTTCTGGCCCACATGTCTTTAAAAATAGGACATTGATTTCCAGTTTCTTCAGTAAATACTGAAGTAGTTCAACTTGTCTAACAAAATCATTACATGGACAAGCATCATCAAAAAATACTTTCATGGACTCAGAATTCCTCTAGCTCCCAATACCTCAGATTGAGAGGTCTGAGAGAAACTCCCAAGTGTCACACTATACTGGGGAACTTTGGATCTATTGAGAAAAAAATTAGAAGAATAAGTTACCTAATAACTACTTTTAAGATAGGCCAAAAAGAACGAAAGAATGCTTACAAAAGTTTTCAAAACCAAAATGATTAAAACAGTCATGGAAAGAATATTAGGATCTATGAATCACTGAAAAGACATTATTAGGTTCTATTCATATTTTTGGTGGTTTTATTTTTTTTCACATCTCTGAAATTAGGATGCAGTTTGCAATCACTTTTCACCAGGTGTCATGATATAACTGTTCATTTCTGAACAAGAAATGTTCAGAATTGTGCACATTGTTTATTAGAAACTTGAAAGAAAATCCTTGAGAAATTTTGGAGCACGCTTTTAAGAAAGGCTGCTCCTGATATTTTTTAAATGTATTTGTATCAGTGGGACTACACTTCTTGCTTTGGTCCCTCCTCTGACTTTCTGAACTTCCCAGCCATCTTGTGGGTAGTTTTCTACCAATGTTACACCTACTCAGTGGCCAGAGCCAAGGATTTCTCTTACTGCTCTATCCCTTGCTCTACATCTCTCTCTTTTCCTTTTCCTTTTTCTATGTCTCCTATTCAATTTTAACCAACATTTTCTCAGTCTTAGTGTAGGCCCGGTACTGGTAAACAAAAGTGTATTGTCTCTATGTTGGAGGAACTCACAGTCTAGCCAGGAATACAGACATCTAAGCCAAAACCAAGAAAAAGGACATTGATCTACGTGAGAAATGCTCTTGTGTAGAGTGATACTATCTTCTAAATGAGTGCAGAGAAAGCAGTTAATTCTGCTGAAAGCAGGGTATGTGTGAGGGGTGCTGGGAAAGTGATAGAGAGCATTTGGAAGTTGCCTCAGTCCTGTATTTTGTGCCTTTCTCCTCAAACACACAGGTTTTTCTTTTTCCCAAAGGAGCTCCTGATTTATTCACTTCATTTGTGTTAAAATAAATGAATACACACAGATTGCAAGGTTTGTAAATATGGACATGAGACCTTAAAAAATCTTTTCAGAAAGTCTGTTTTGTATCTGTGTTCCCATCTAGGCTCTGAAAAGCTGTAAAGAACAAGTAGAGGGAAATTCAATGGCTGTGAGTGAGATGCCTGGCGAGTTTTTATAGGCCCAATTAAGTGAGCCAGATAGGCTCGCTAAGAAGTGTTCGTATCTGCCAAAAGAAAACATAATAACATAATACCTGATATCTGCTGGCATTTTATGTTCTGTACAACTTGTAAAGACTGTCACAGTCATCTGGCCACAGGCTATGGTTTATTGTGGTTGGGCTTCTAAAAATTATTATTAGCAGATAAAGATTATCTGCTAATTTAACAGCAACGTGAATATCCTGTAAGTAACTTTAGAAATGGGATGGTTCTAGAGTTTTCTAAAAATTTTAGTACCATTATTACTGTCTTCTTTCACGAGTTACATGGCATATATTATATCCCTTTCCTCTTTTTAATTCTTTGGCTAAATTGGAAGAATATTTACCTATAAAAGCGTGGGAGGGAGGTAGGCTGGTTTCCATTGTCAAAGACATAGCACTATGTGTTTTGGCAAAGGGGATTAGTTCACGTAGGTCATGGTTGGAACAGAGATGGTTGGGTGAAGAAATAAAAACATTCTGAAAGATTTGTTTCTTCTAATATGAAGATGATTTAGAAACCAACTCAAAGGAACATACTTGGCAGCTGTCTTAACAGTGAGGGACCCATCTGGTGAATCCTGTAGTCAGAGGCAAGGGAGGTCAAGATGCTAAGATCGTGCTAGCTGTCTTAGGAGCAGATTTAAGATGGAATGTGTTATAGCCACACAAGTACAAACCCCATCAGAAGGTCATGTTCTAAACATAAGGGATAAGAGAGATGAGCTCCCACTGTCTAGCGGTCCAATACCAGAACTGAGACTTGTTCATATTTGTCCTTCTCTTTCTCCTGGAGGGCATCTATTAAAAGCTAGGGACATTAAAAAACAATTATGGATTAGTCAGTGGCTGTTAAGTTGCAACAGAAACCTAATTCAAACTGGCCTAAGCAAAAACAGAAACTTTGTTGGCTTACATAACTTTAAGGTCCATAGGATATCTGACTTAAGGCAAAGCTGGTCCTACTCCTTCCCACAGGCCATTAGGAGCTCATTATTAGGAGAATAACTTTTGTGCTTCGCTCTTTCGGGACCATTGTCAAGGGACTCCCCTATATGGTGATAAGACAGCCATCAGCAGCCTCAACCCAGCAGCTCTGTAGAAAGAGGTTGTCTCATCCGCAGTATATCCAGAAAGTCCTAGAACTGATGTTCAATACAATCCTCAATGACTTGTTGCCTCAGCCTGGGTCACATGTCTACTCCTGAGCTCCCAGGGCCAGAAAGATGTAGTACTCTTACTGGTCAGAATTACATCACAAGGCCACTCCTGGAACCAGAAAGTAGAAACAGACCTACATAAATTCGATGAATGGGTATAAGTAAAGAAGTAGTCCCCAAAAGAAAAACAAACCGCCGGCACAAAAGAAAAAAGGAAAACAAGCAAAAATAAGAAGTGGCCAATAAAAACCCCAAGTTTTAAAAAGAAAAAAAACTCAACCTCCTAAAATAACAAAAAAAAAAAAAAAAAAAACTTTCCCCTCAAAAAATTTCAAAGTTAACAATAAAAAAGATGATTCTATTATCATTTTTAAAGTCACTGCTATTGTTGGCTAGGTAAATGGAAGAAGATTTCTTTTTGTCTACTGGTTCAGTATCTTTGAGCTACCCCAAGAACACAGCTGGCTTCACTGAGTTATTCATGAATAATAAACAGACTGTTGGCTGTTTGTTCAGATAAGCAAGTGACATTTTGATTCACCCAAGACCTAGGAATTTGCCTTGCTGCTGCTGCTGCTAAATCACTTCAGTTGTGTCTGACTCTGTGTGACCCCATAGACGGCAGCCCACCGGGTTCCGCCGTCCCTGGGATTCTCCAGGCAAGAACACTGGAGTGGGTTGCCATTTCCTTCTCCAATGCGTGAAAGTGAAAAGTGAAAGGAATTTGCCTTAGAGAGAGGCAATAGAATGCTTTGAAAGGATAAAAAGTAACTCATTTTCCCTGGGTAAGAATTGCTCTATCTGTAGCCGCATGGATTGTTGTTTTGTGACAAGTACATATGCTATTCTGAAAACCCTCACAAGATGGAGTGAGGTAACGAACTAGAACCATCAAATGTATGTATCCACAACGATTGTAGTTTGGCTCCCAGCGGAGTTAACCAACACCTTCTCAGTTGATAAGACCCTCTTGAACTCCATAAACACATCCTTTCCAATGTGTCCCTCCATCAACAGTTGAGTGTTTCCCCTGACATTCTAAAAGAGCTGAACTGAGGAGTTTAAGAAGTACCAAGGCAGATACTGTCTAGACATTAGGGGGATTTTGGAAAGGCTTGAGCTTTGATGGAATGTGACACTGGTAAAACTTCAAATGCCACCTGAAAGATTGGGACTCACTCATCTGGATTTCAGGAAGTAGTGAAATTTCTGGGAAAGATGACAACAAAGTAAAGATTCTTTTTTTCTTTGGGTTGGTAGCATCGGTCCTCCTATGTCTCAGTGTGGCTTTCACAGGACCATGATGACATATTAGCCATATGGAAGAAGATTATGTGAGTGAGTTTCTAGCTTTTAAACATGTACTACTTTGAAAGAAGGCAACATGTTTACAGGCAATCCCCAACATAAAAATAAACTATGTTTCAGAAAACCAGTAAGAAGCTGGTGGCTTGAACCTGGGAATGATTTTCCCTGTAGGAAAAAAAGTTACTGGTTGTAAGATCCTGGACTAGCCTACAAAAAGTACACTAAAATCCAATAACTTTGTACTAGTCACAGAACAGGCTTCCCTGCTGGTTCAGTGGTAAAGAATCAGACTGCCAATGCAGGAGACTGGGGTTCAATCCCTGGGTCAGGAAAATCCCCTAGAGGAGAAAATGGCAACCCATTCCAGTATTCTTCCCTAGGAAACCCCATGGACAGAGGAGCCTCGTGGGCTACAGACCAGGGGCTGCAAAAGAGCCAGACCTGACTTAGTGACTGAACAGCAATGACAGAACATGAACCCAGAAGTGGGAGCGGGGGAACCATCGAGCCAGTGGCCAAAGAAGGAAGTTTCCTTCTTCCTTCTTTTCTGGACACACTTTGGAGATGTTCTATAGCCCCTCCCCATCTACCAGTCTTCAAGGATGTCTCCCCAGGTTTCCTGACCCATAATCCCTCCTACCTCATTATCATACTACACTTAAGTCCATGATGCCCTCCAGATGCTCAGGAGTCCAAGGTCACCTCTCTTCATGGTCCTCCATTAAAGCACCTATTCTCCTGTAGCTCATTTTCATCACTCGGAGCTGGGGGGAGTCGAGTTGGGGCAAATAATCGGATCCGTGAAGGTTCTTCCCACTCCCTGAAAGACTTCTGTTTCTAAAGCAGGTATTTGATTTAACCCTAATTAGGTAAAAATTAGGCAGCATCGGGGAAGTCTGGGAGGGAACAGAGAGAGAGTTGAACAGATCCATCCTTAGAAACAGTCCCTTGGTGAAACCGAGGGGCAAGAGCACCTTGGCTGCTGAGGCATTTTCTCCACACCTTTTCGCTGCTGCATCAGGGCCTGAAGCTCCTCCAGCTCCTCTCTTCTATGTACAGAGCCCACGTTACCCCGTATCTCCCAGTCAAGCTGCTTTCCTGCGGGTAAGGACCTGATCCAAGGGGCGGCACTGATTTCTCCAGCAGCCTGGCCCTCAGCTGCCTCAAAAGAAGTCTTTTGTTTCTGAGTCTTCCCCCAGTGGCCCAGGGCCAGTTGCCACAACTTACACAGACCGTGACTCCTCAGTCAGCACTGTCTGAAGTCTCCCCTGAAGATGCTACTCCAAACGGTGTCTTCTCATCCAGTCTTCCTAAGCCCACAGATGGAGGTCCTGAATGTCAGACCCAACACACAGCGGGAATGGGAAGCATTTTAGAGCATGGACCCTGCGTTCATATTCAGGCTACACCACTTGCTAACTGGCTCAATTTGGCCCATTTCTTTAACCTCTCAGTCTTCTTTAAAATTCGGATAATAGTAGTATCTCATATAAGTACTGTGACCGTGAATGAACTATTATTACATGTAAAGCACTTAGAATGGCATCTGGCATGCAGTAAAGTGTTAAGGAAAGGTGAGGAATTTTTAAGTGGTGCGTGTACTGAGGTGTTCAGAACTAACATGTCCTATTAGCCAGACAACTGTTCGAAGTGGTTGTTGGAGTTGAACGTCTTTGGTTCTTCCAGTTCTGGGACATTGTACAGCACACAGCATTTGGAAGCTCTTCCAGTCGTGCTCACGCTGGTTACCTCTGAGGCACCCACAGCCCTTTAGGTGGTAACTGTCAGGACCGGTTATAAGGCACTTTTGGCAAAGTCCATAGGTCAGGAGGTCAATATCTATTTCCCTGTCTACCCCACACAAACTTTTCCTTCCAAAGTGTGTTCCTTTCATCCCTGACCCCAGGGGCACACCTAATCTCTTTAATGAGCTTGCGCTAAAATCAAAGACCAAAAACGAAAAGAACGTTAGAAGCTTCTGTTTTCAACTCTGCAAAAATCCTGAAGCAAAGAAACACTTTGACACGTGAAAGAAAAAAAAAAATTAACAGTTACCGAAGGGGAAAGCCAGGAAGGGATAAATTTGAAATTTGAGGTTAAAAGATACACACTATTATATATAAAATAGATAAACAAAAAGGACCTATTGTATAGCAGAGGAACTGTATTCAGTATCTGGTAATAACCTATAATGGAAGAGAATCTGAAAGAGAATCCATGTATATATATATGTAGAACTGAATTGCTTTGCTGAAACGTTATAAAGCAGCTATAACTTCAATGAAAAAATAAAAAATTTAAAAAGAGAAAAAGAAATACCTGGATCTAGTTAAGGATTTAAAATAGGGAGAGAAGAATACAAAGAGAATATATGTAAGTTATTTACTCAATAAATGTTACTACAGCCAGCTCAGTAATAACAATGGCATCAACACTGATTCTATAAGCAAATACCTTATATTAATTATTCCAGACAACTCCATGTGGTAGGTGTCTTTAATTCTATTTTACAGATGAGGAAACTAATGTTCTGAGACTTTGTGCATAGTCACATGATCAGTAGCAAAGCTGATACTCCAATCTGTGCTGACTCCCTGTGGAACAGAAGAAAGGAAGGCCAGTGTGACAGCTGTTGAGATGTTTTTTCTACAAGAGATGTTTGAAAGAAAGAGAATCTCTGCTGAAATTATCTTTAATTATCACTCGTAATTTGTTTTTAACCCAATAGAACTGAACCCAAACCAAATGTTGGTATCATTTCATCACTTCTCTCTAAAAGTCAAAATAAAATCATTCTTTTTATGCTATAATCAAATAAGTTAGGCTATCTCTGGCTCAAACCCAAACCTAAATACCAAAAATCAGAAAAAGAAAGTTCAGAACCACATTATTTTTCCATAATATGTCAAAAAAAAGTCTATGCTTTAGTTACATTAGAGTGAAAAAAGAACTCTTTCTGCTTCTAATGAGCAATTAATTCCAGCTCAGGATGTTGAGTTTAGAATAGGTTAAGTTCCCCCAAACCACAGCCGTTTGTGTTGGATCATGGTTAAAAACCCAGAATTCCAGTTTCTACAATAATCACATTCTTTTCTTCTACTGCAATGGGAGAAATGACCATTTTTATGTAACATAGGAAAAACCATAGCAGAAACGCCTATGAATTCCAGATTTCCTAAACTGTTTTCAAAGCTGTTTAAAATCAGTTGAATACATTTTATTTTAGCAGAGCTAAAAATTCTGAAATAAACTTTGGGAACTGAAATTTTTTAAATGAATTTGTTTGGAGGAGAAGATATGAAAATTCATGTAATTAGCATGTTTAACACATGAATCACTTAAGTTTGATGACAATGAAAACTCCATATGAACCATATTTGTGTTCAGATCCCAAAACCCAGAACCACCCCTTGCACAGCTTCCTAGCTGTAATTAACCAATCAGATTGCTGTGGTAGCCATCTTTTTCCTTCAGCTTAAGAAAATTTTAGACTCAGAGTCATTCTGAAATTTAACATCATTTGGTTCTTGTTAAGTAGTGACTAGTCTGGTGTTATGATGGGAAAAAGAAAAGTCAGAGAAAGCTCTTCTGCGAAATAAACAAGAACACTTGAATCAAAGAAAATCCTAAAATGATCCCAATCACAACAGCGATATTGGAACTGCCATTCTCCACAGGAAGAATGACCCCTTTTGAATACATTGTAATGACGCAGACTAGAGTCTGTGACTTTACAATCCTCCTATGACTCTCACTAATTTCTCTGTCTCATACCAAGCCTTGAAATCATGGTGCTAATTCTCAGAGTGTTTATGAGAAAGTGCAAAAGTTGACACCACTGACTTCACCTAGGCTGACAGGAAAACTTTCCATTTGTTCAAGTAAATGAACTAAAAAGAGAGGGTGTAATGTTAGTATTATAACTATTGGTAAATTATTCCTTTTCTCTTTTGATAAGACTTTCATAAAGCGATGGAGTTCTTTGGTTTTTATCTCCATGAAGCTTTCTTCTGATGATTTAGATCATTTTATATCACCTCTCAGCCTGTTCCCTAAACAGCAAAGCCAAAGCAGCAATGAAGAATAGTTTTTCCACAGTCATTCATTCCTTTGTTGATTTATTTATCCACTGAATATTTACCAGTTTATACATGAGTATGCATCAAGCCTAACACTTGCATCAACACTTACCAGCAAAGAAGGAACACCTCAGTGGTGTATGTGTGTGTGTGTGTGAGAGAGAGAGAGAAGCTATTATTGTTTTGAAGTTTCTCCTTTAGGGAAGCAGTAGGAAATATAGTATGAGAAAGAAGTTCCCTGGCATTATCTGATGTCTTTCACCTAATGAACCTTCTTGCTCACCCTGTGAAAATGGAGACTCCCAAGCCATGTGGAGATACTTCCATTTTTCAGTTTTGTTCTCCTATCTTCACCAATTATCAGAGTCCCAGATTGTTTCTGAACAGCAACTCTATTTTCATTGTATTTTTTATACATATCATTTACTTTTCTTTTCCTCATCTATTTGGCATGGACCAGGTTTCCTGTTTTCCATACAATTCCCTTTACAGCAATTTCCCAGGTTTAAATTGTCAGACAGCACTTCAGCAGCAATGTGCTCTATGCATGTGTGGTTGTAAAGAAATCAGAAATTTACATTCCAGAGAAGGAACTCATGGCCCCACAATGAATGTGAATGATGGCAGGAAGAAATCTTTTAACAGTACTTAAATTGGTCATTGAGAAAAACTATGAGATTTAGAGCTTTGTGGTTTACCTGGGGTTCTAGGACTATTTTTAAATTTCCCAATTTCAGAAGTGGGTACTTTCTCCTTCCTACATATGGTTGCATAGATGTAAAGTTTAAGATGTCTTAAATACATGATGATGAAAGAATTAAACAAGATGACAAGCAAGTAGGAAGGAACTGACATTTTGTTTCCAGCATTCCATATTTCCACATTTATTTTTGAGTTTAATTTATAAGTTTTTAATCCTTTTGCAATTAGAAGTGCTTAAAGACTTTCCTTTGCTTGGAGGTTTTCTCTACAAAATAAGAAAAAACCCTGTTAATGTCCCTCATCGATTATCCACTTTCACTCATGCTGTGTCACTTTGGTCCCAGGACTGAAGAATAAAATTTCAAAGTGCATGGTAGTTTAGTCATGCATTCATTTATTAATTAGTTCCTTAGAACTTTATTTCAAGTCCTGAAAGATGATGCTGTTAAAGTGCTACACTCAATATGCCAGCAATTGATGAAGGTGAAAGAGAAGAGTGAAAAAACTGGCTTAAAACTCAACATTCAAAAAACTAAGATCATGGCAGTCCCATCACTTTATGGCAAATAGATGGGTAAACAATGGAAACAGTGACAGACTTTATTTTCTGGGGGTCCAAAATCACTGCAGATGGTGACTGCAGCCATAAAATTAAAAAACATTTGCTCCTTGGAAGAAAGGCTATGACCAACCTAGACAGCATATTAAAAAGGAGAGACATTACTTTGCCAACAAAGTTCCATATAATCAAAACTATGGTTTCTCCAGTAGTCATGTATGGATGTGAGAGTTGGACCATAAAGAAGGCTGAGTGCCACAGAATTGATGCTTTTGAATGTGGTGTTGGAGATGGGATGTTTAGGAGTAATTGTACAGGGAAAGATTTACAGGTGAATGCACGGTAAAGAGAGATTAACCAAGAATGAAGAAGCTAGATGCTGTTATCCTATAAAACTTCCCAGTGTGTGTTTAACCTTTCCTTTTGTCTGCATTTAGGGCACTGTGCCTCCAAGTAAGCTCCTCCAAGCGTCCTTTGTAATGTCCGTTTAGTTGCTCAATCGAGTCCGACTCTTTGTGACCCTGTGGACTGTAGCCCACCAGGCTCCTCTGTCCATGGGGATTCTCCAGGCAAGAATACTGGGGTGGGTGGCCATGTTCTCCTCCAGGGGATCTTCCCAACCCAGGGATTGACCAGGTCTCCCACATTGCAGGTGGATTCTTTACCATCTGAGCCAACAGGGAAACCCTTGTAATGTCTAAGCAGACAGGAAGTGGCTTGTGTGATATTTCACAATCATACTTTTCTATTGACCCAGCCTCTCACTTTAAGGATCTGAATGTTTGTGCATCCTGTTTGTCCTAGTTACTGACTGAGATCTTCGCTAGAGGGTAGATTTTCTGTGTGCCACAACTTATTAGATGTTCATAAAACCAGTTAGTCAGTCACAATTGACATTTTCAGAGATTTGGAGTAGAACAGAATAGATCAGAGGGATGGCATGTAGTAAATATGAGTATTGGTGGATGGAAATATTGTTTCACAGCCAGTGTGCACACATATGTGTATGTGCTGGGTCATGATGTAACATAGATTTCTTCCTATGGGTCATGATTTTTGAAAAGCTGAAAAACTCTGGCCCAGACTTTAAGTTCCATATCTGGTTGGTTTGCCATTTCATTTATAACACATATAGTATTTGTTTCAGACTAGGAGCTCAAGAATTTTTTTGAGTAAATATTGTTGAATACATCCTATCACATAATTTAAGGCACAGTTTTCTCTTCTTGATTATATTCATAGTATTATACTATATATAGATAATGATAGATATGTACACAGTTTGCATATATATTAATTAATTTTATTTGAGCAGCTGATGGTTTGTGTAGCTCTTAAATGGACATTTTAAGAGTTTAAATTATACAGCCAGATCAGGTGGATATAGTTGCCATTATTGTTGTCCAGTTGCCAAGTCGCGTCCAACTCTTCGTGACCCCATGAAGTGCAGCATGCCGCTTCCCTGTCCGCACGGTCTCCCAGAGCTTCCTTAAGTCCCTGGCTACAGGAACTTCAGACATCATTGGCATCAAACATAGTCGGTGTACTCTAGCTTTTTTTTGTTTTCCCAAAATTATTTTTTTCTTTTACATCAAAAAAGTTTACTATAAATATAATACATGCTCACTATTTAGATAATTGGTAAAAAAGGGTTACAACAGAAATTTCAGTCACCTTTAGTTGGCCACACAATAAATGAACACTATGTTTTGGAGTACTTTCTTTTGTATAAGCACATACACACACACACACACACACACACAAATACGCATACCCATGCATCTCACTTATAGTAATTATACTAGAATCGTACTGATTGTACTGTTACTTCAGCTAGTTTTTTCACTTTTTATTAGATGGTAAGCATTTCTCATGCCATTAAATACTCTTCAAAAATATGAATTTAATACTTAATGCACAGTATTTTCCTGGTGACTCAGATTGTAAAGAATCTGCCTGCAGTTTTCTAGAAAGGATATTCAATAACTGAGTAATCATTATTGTTGTTGGATCTCATATAGGTAATGATGTACAAATTAGCTTTCTAAATAAATTTTTGCATCCTTATGTTATTATTTTGGTGTCATAAATCAATGTATTTGTTATTTAATATAAGGCTATGAAAAAAATTTTAATTGCTCCAAGTAACCCAGCTTGCCCCTAGAAAAGTTGCTAAATTTATATTCTTATTAACAGCATATTTATTAATATATCCAACACATATTATTGCTCCATCTTATATAGGTTTCATAGCAGCCCTATTAAAACTGAGTGTTTTCATTTATCTTTTTATCAACTTGATAGGAAATATCAAGTACTTTGTTTTCGTTAAATTACAACTGAAATTGAGCAATGCATGTGTTTATTGGCCATATAAATTTCTTCTTTTCTATGAATTATTCATTTTTCCATTACAACATTTTCCTTTTTTGCTCCTGAGTTGTAAATGTTCTTTGCTATCAAAAATTATTGAAAATTTTTTCCACATTTATCAGTAGTCTCTTAACTTTATGATACTTTAGAGAGAGAAATGTTTTCATTTTTATGTAAACAAGTCAGACTTCTATTAGTTTTTTCAAATGGCATTTTAAATATCAGATCAAGATGGTCATGTGATTTTTTTCTTTTTCTATTAATGTGATGATTAATATTAATAGAGTTTCTAATATTGAATAGCCCTTGCAGTTGTGAAAAAGGAAATCTACATTCCTATGCTATTTTATTCTTTTAAGACAGAGCTGGGCTTGAGTTGCTAGTCTTTTATTTGTGATTTTGTACATATATATTTGTAAGTGAAATTGATATCTAAGGTTTTGTGTTTTTTCCTAACTTTAATAGCTTTAAATAGAAGGGATATGTTACCTTTATAAAATAATTTGAGTGGCTTTTTATGTTTCCATTCTTTGTAACAATTTCTGTAGTCTAGGAATTATTTCTTTTTTAAGATTTAAAATAACTAATCCATAAAACCATCTAGCCTGATACTTTTTTGTGGATAATCCTGTGACCCCTTTTTCAGTCATTTCCATAGATGGAGATCTTTAGGAAAGGAGATGTTTCCTCCTTTACTGAAGTTTGGAAAGTTGCTATCTTTTTTCTATTCTTTTTTTCAAACTTTTAGTATATTTTATGTTTTTACCACTTAATATATTTAATAATCTTGTTTTTCTGCTCTAATGTATTTATTCCTTCATTAACTTATTATTTCTCTTTCCTTAAGAAAGGATAAAGTAAACTTTTAAAATTACCAAGCTTATCTTTTTCAGTCACTTTTTAGTCATGGTCAGTAACAGTATAATTTAAGGCAGTGAGTTCACTTTTGAATTTAGTTCAGTGAACTTTGAGAAGTGTTAGTGTCTAAATGTTCCTTTTATTTCTTTTCTAGGTAATCTGAAATTTAAAATTCTTCTTTGACCAAGAGTGATTTATGAGATCACTATTTTAAATTTTAATAATTTATGTTTTTTTCCATCTAAACTTTTATTAATATTTGACTTTAATACTTCATAGTCAAAGGACAGTGACTTCTGAAGTTTCTGGCATTTATTGAAAGTTGGCGTAATATATGTTACTTTTGTTATTTAAAGATTTAATTAAATTAAAGCCATTTTTCTATAAGTGTTAATAATTTAATAAATATTTATTGAATGCCTAATATATTCCAGGACTTCCCTGGGGGCTCAGACGGTAAAGCGTCTGCCTATAATGCAGGAGACCCAGGTCCAATCCCTGGGTCGGGAAGATTTCCTGGAGAAGGAAATGGCAACCCACTTTAGTATTCTTGCCTGGAAAATCCATGGACAGAGGAGCCTGGTAGGCTACAGTCCATCGGGTCACAAAGAGTCGGACAGGACTGAGCGACTTCACTTTTTTAATATATTCCAAGCACTGTTAAGGTGCTGGAGATGCAGCAGAAAGCAAAGTAGACAAAGTCTCTGACTTGGGTACTTGCATTTTAATATATATGTATCACTGTATTTCCTTAAATGTAAGCCAGCATAATTGTTATACACACAATAAATTTAATGACAAATAAATTCTTACATAAATTTAATATAAGAAAAGAACAGAAAAAGAGAACACCACCACATTAAATGTAAATCCTATACTATGCTTGGAAAATTGTGGTAAAATAATCTTATGAATTACATTGTTTCTGACATTGCATATATTTATTTAACATCTTCTTGATCTGTCAAAGGTAAACATTGGGTGAAAGTCCCTACTTACTATCTATTACTGAAACTTTCAGGTTTTTTTTTTTAGGTCTGTCTCTTGTGAAATGTTGACTTGTGGTGTTTCATTCTGAGGCTTTCTCTTCCTAAGAAATGTTTAGCTTATTTATGCGTTATCATAACTGGCATTCTTATTCTTCCTGTCATTTTTAAACTTTGTGCTTTGTATACCTTTTTCTAGTTCCCTTTTTTTGGTTGCATTTTCTTTGATTATTTTATTTAATAATTTTAATCATACTGACTTTATAAAGACATTTTTAACCTAGTTTCTCTGTCAACATCAAAGATGATATTGTCTCTACTGAGTTCCTTCTAGGTCAAAGGAACAAAGTAAAATGACTGTGTGTTATCACAAATTTCCCTCACACTTTTTAATGTATTGTTTTTAGATCCACTCATTATAAAGAAAAATGTGTATCTTCTTTTTAATATTTTGTATGGGGTATATTTCCTATCATCCAGGGACTAGATTCCAAGTCTAATGGTAGTCCTTCTTTGCTTTAACCATATCATAATTGAGTTCTTTATCTTGACTCACCTGCTTACCTTTTTGAGTAATTTTACTTCAGGAGGCGTGCATAGTATATTTCTGAATCCTGGAAATCTGATAATGTCATTT